ACTATGGCCCAGCCTTTCCCATTGGTTACAGCCACCAGCTGCTTCTCCTCTCCATTCTCCTGCCTCACCCCACCAACCATCAAGCCCCATGACTTGATTCATTCCCATCCCAGAATCTTGTTGTCCCCTCCCTGCAACGGAATCATAGAATCACAGAATGGTTTGGGTTGGAAGGGACCTTAAAGATCACCTAGTTCCAAACGCCCTGTCACAGGCATCAACATCTTCCACTAGACCAGGTTGCTCAAAGCACCATCCAACCTGGCCTTGGAAACTTCAGGGATGGAGCATCCACAGCTTCTCTGGGCAACCTGTTTCAGTGTCTCACCACCTCACAGTGAAGAATTTCCTCCCAATATCTTATCTAAATCTACCTTCTGTTTAAAGCCATTCCCCTTGTCCTGTCACTATATGCCCTTTTAAAAAGTCCCTCTCCAGATTTCTTGTAGGCCCTCTTTAGGTACTGGAGGGCTGCTCTAAGGTCTCCCCTGAACCTTCTCTTCTTCAGGCCGAACAAACCCAGCTCTCTCAGCCTGTCTTCACAGGAGAGTTGCTCCAGCTCTCTGAGCATCTTTGTGGCCCTGCTCTGGACTTGCTTGAGCAGGTCCACATCCCTCTTGTGCTGGGGGCCCCAAAGCTGAATGCAGTACTGCCAGTGAGGTCTCATGAGAGTAGAGTAGAGGGAGAGAATCACCTCCCTCTACCTGCCAGTCACACTCCTTTTTATGCAGTCCAGGATAAGGTTGGTTTCTGGGCTGTGAGCACACACTGAAGCCAGCTCATATTGAGCTTCTCATCAGTCAACACCCCCAGGTCCTCCTCAGGGCTGCTCTCAATCCAATCTCGACCCCACCTGGATTAGTGTTTGGTCTATATTACAATAGCTAGGGCTGCTCCTAGCAGAACTGCAGCAGCTGGCAACAGGTGGACAAGGAACTGGCATCACCTTAAAGAGGCATTATGAGGGACCCTGGGATGGAGAAGTCCCGTTAGGAAGGGTGAAGGAGTTGTGCTTCAGGTGCAGTGATGAGCCACTGCAGAAAGGGATGGAAGCAGTGAGGAAGTGAGAGGTCCCTGTGCTCTCTCTGCATCTGCCACCACTGGATCTCCTCTGTCTTTGGGCTCTGTGGCTACTTTCTCTTGGCAATTAAAAAGGAATTGTTGGTCATTTCAGGACAAATGTACAGAATGTATACCTACAGTATTGTAACCTTTCTTTCAAAATAAGTCTATTCATTCCTACAAAATAAGTTGCTGTCACTTTATTTCAGCTCAGTGTTGTGATGTATCTTGACTGAAACACAGTATGCAGCACAGCAAAAGCCAAATGAAAAGGAAAGCATTTCCCTAGTCATTTTTTCC